TATGACGCAAATCTGCAATAATTAAATGTTAAACAACACAAATATGCTTTATGTATTTAATCCCATTCTATTAAGCAATGTCTTTGCTTCTGACCTTCGATGATTCAGTTCAACCATACTAATAAGCACAAATGACTCTAGACAAACATTTGTGTGTTTTTTTTTATTGCTGAAGTGTGTTGAAATTTCTTCTTCTGCATTCTACTGTACGGACGTAAATGTACTTTCCCTTCAGCCTGAGGCTTATTCATTTAACTTTTGGTGTGAAAAGGCTTTTATATTTGCCAAAAATATAACTTTTTTTATTTTAAAATCAAACAAGCAAGCCCTGTCCAGATTTAAAACGTAACGCAAAAGTAATGTAACGCATTACTTTCCATAAAAAGTAACTAAGTAACGTAATTAGTTACTTTTTTATGGAGTAACGCAATATTGTAATGCATTACTTTTAAAAGTAACTTTCCCCAACACTGATTGCGAGATATTATTACATAACCTGTTTAAATATATTTTAAAATGTAAATGACTGCTGTGATGCAAAGCTGAATTTTCAGCATCATTACTCCAGTCTTCAGTGTCACATGATCCTTCACGAATTGTTCTAATTTGTTGATTTGGTGCTTGGGAAACATTTCTTATCTATTTTGAAAATGGTTGTGCGGCTTAATATTTTTTTGGATACTTTTTTCTGTATATTTTGATGAATAGAAATACAGATTTATTTATTCATTTGCTGATGATAGCATATATTTGAAAAATAAATCTTTTGTAACAGTGTAAAAGGCTTTACTGTCATTTTAAATCAATTTAATGCACCATTGTTGAATAAAACTTTTCGTTTTTTAAAGCAAACTTTTGAACAGGCTTTTGATACATTTACATTGAATAAAATGAGTAAAAATATATATAGTTGAGGCAAACACCTCATGATAAATTGCAGCATTAAATTTAATTTCTCTAAAAACAAAACATAAAACATGCCTTGCAAGCATGAACCAAATGAATTAATGAATCAGTGACTATTTTGGATTCATGAACTGTTCAAACACAAATTCTTAAAAAAAGCTACATTATTTTGAAAGCAGCTGAGCTGCTGTTACACTTCTGTGAAGGTAGGTAAAATTCCTAACACCGGAAATTATACACTGCACCTTAAAGTTAAATGCTTAAAATGCTAGGCTGAGAAAACGAAGGTGAACAAGATGCTTTCAGTCATGTTTTTTATCTGTAGATGCCTAGGAAGATAGTGTACGACCAGCTCAACCAGATCTTGCTGTCTGACAGCACTCTTCCTGACAGCCTTATCCTGGTCAACGGCAGCGACTGGCAAGGACATGTAAATACCAGTCCATTTCACTTCCTGTGTGCCTGTCTGTCTGAACATAGCCGTTCTTGTGTTCAATTAATAACTGCTTTAATTTGACGTTGAACATCTGTGTTGTGTCAGTATCTTGGCACATGCTGATGTTTTTATCCATTCTGAAATAGAGTAATGACTCTGTGTGTGTGTTCTGCAGTATGTGGCTGAGCTGCTGCAGGCCCAGAAGCTGCCAGTGGTCTGCACCTGCTCTGGATCAGAAATCCAGGCCGTCCTTTCCGCCCTACTGACACGCATACAGAAATTGTAAGTGTAACTGTGGTCGAATCAGTGAGAATAAACACATGTGAAATGACAAGACTGGCTGTCAGATGATCAGATCTCATGATGTTAAATTGTGTCTGCACTGCATTGGCATTCATCTTTTCATTGTTCCTTCTTAATTCTCACAGCTGCAACTGTAACTCCATCATGCCCAAACCGGTGAAGGTGGTGGCGGTTGGAGGTCAGAGCTACTTAGGAGCCGTCTTGAGATTCTACGTCTCTCAGCTCGCCAACAAGATGTCTGATTGGCTCAGCCACATAAAGTTCCTTGTGGTGCCTGTAGGTGCGTATAAATAACACAATGATTCTGCACACAACAATGACAAAAGCTTTCCAAAAAAAAGCGACTGTCAAAAAATGCAGGATGTATCATGTGAGCGTCTCCACAGGCTCTCACCCTGTGGCCAAACACCTGGGTTCTCTGGACAATCGCTACAGTTCTTCCTTCCTGGACAGCTCATGGCGAGAGTTTTTCAGCCGCCTAGAGCCTCCTCAGACTGGTAAGTAATGCATTTGTTTAACCCTCAGTTATTTCTACAGTTATTTCAAGTGTCAACTCGATGTGGATATGCAGCATTTCTCTTTCCTGTTGAGATGTATTGTATTGGCGATTTGTCTATAGGCTTTGTGCTTGTATCTCTTCAGCTTCTTCTACTGACTTTGTGGATGTGGCCGGGCGAATTCTACAATACATCAACGGATCTACGGTTACTCATCAGCTTCCCATTGCTGAGGCCATGTTGACCTGCAAACACAAGACGTGAGTGAGATGATTTCTACCGTCCCATCATTTCATATATGTTTGATTATATTTTATAATTGTTTATTTTATTTTACTCTTCTAGGCAAGATGATGATTGCTACCAAAATTTTGTTCCATTTGTGGGTGTAAGTATATTTTGTTACACTACTGTTCAAAAGTTTGTAGTTGTAGTAAGATTTTTCAAAGCCATTTATTTGAAATAGAAATCTTTTGTAACTTTATAAATGACTTTACTGTTACTATTGATCAATTTAATGCAAATAAAAAATTATGACCCCAGAATGTATACTGTGATGTATATTGCAACATATTCCACAATCACAGCTTAATTTCCAATGATGGATAGATTTATATTAATTTTTTTTCTTGCAACAGGTGGTTAAGGTGGGATTGGTAGAGCCCAGCCCAGGATCTTCAGGTTTGTCATGTGTTTTGTTTCACCAGTAATATTGTATTACCATTAAGGATGGGAACAGAGAACCAGACAGCGGTCCCAGTGTAGTTTGATTTCTGAACAAGTGACTCTTATGAACCAGTGCAAAAACATACAGCGCAACCACTGTAGTCTGATTCCTGAATTAAGGATTCTGAGTGTTTTTTAGCTAATCTAAATATATATATATAGTATATATATATATACTATATATATATATATAGTATATATATATATACTATATATATATATATAGTATATATATATATACTATATATATATATATAGTATATATATATATACTATATATATATATATAGTATATATATATATACTATATATATATATATAGTATATATATATATACTATATATATATATATAGTATATATATATATACTATATATATATATATAGTATATATATATATACATATATATTGGACATTTTCACTTAGGGGTGTACTCACTTCTGTGAGATACTGTATGTATATATATATGTGTGTGTATGTTAAACAATTATCTGAAAATTTCACCTCTGAAAGACTGAAAATTACTCTTAAAAATGTATGTACACCTTTGTTTTATGAAATTCTCGTCACTTTGCAGAGAAATTTCCTTTTAGCTTTTTTCCAAATATTTATTTGACTCATTGTAGGTGGAGATTGTGAGGAGGGTTTGCCTTTGAGTTTGGCAGTTCCATCGACGTCTCCACCGGCTCATGGATCTCCCATTGGGATGATGAAAGATTCTGCAACGCCTCCTCCATCACCATCACTAAGCGGACTGGCTGCACTAGGGTTTGTGTACAATATCTGCACCGCTCTGCTGTTTCTCACATTGCTTTAGCTTCCAGCTATTATCTCTTTAAAAATGCTTGCCCGGTAAAAAAATCTGGTCAAACTGATTCTGTTATCTAGGAGCCCCAGCATGTCTCATGGTATGGATGCCATTGGGCTGCAGGTGGATTACTGGGTGTCGTCAGGGGCTGAGAAGCGCAAAGATGCCGAGCGGAGAGACACAGGCAATAAGATTACTTTGAAGTGTGCATTCAGATCCCTGCAGGTTAGCCGACTGCCCGGCTCCTTTGAGCTCCAGACTGGCTCTAACACCATGTCCATGACTGTGGTGACCAAGGAGAAGAACAAGAAAGGTGAGATGGTCTACTAGATTTACACATTTGTCCATTTGCTCACTGGACAAAGGTTACTTGTGTTTTTTTGACTCCATACAGTGTTTTCTAGCCCTGTAATTTCATTTGACATTTTCTTTCTTGCCCTCTGCTCTTTTTTTTTTTTTTTTCCCTGAAGCGGAGTTTTTTTTTTTGGTAGCTCTCACTGCAGTGCTACTATTGTTGTTACTCTCCATATTTATGTACCAGCTATATTTACTCACATTGCCTGTCTTCAGTCCCAACCATCTTCCTGGGGAAGAAACCGAAAGAGAGAGAGACAGAGTCAAAGAGTCAGGTCATTGAAGGCATCACAAGACTCATCTGCTCTGCCAAGAATCAACAAACCAGTCTAAGAGGTACTTATCAACGGATTTTCTCTGTTTGATTTGATGAAAAGGAATTTGTCCAAAGATGACAACCAAATATTCAAAATTTGAGGGATTAAAGTTAAAGGGATAGTTCGACGAAAAATGAAAAATTCTGTCATTAATTACTCACCCTCATGTCGTTCCAAACCTGTAAGACCTTTGTTTATCTTCGGAACACAAATGAAGATATTTTTGATGAAATCCGAGAGCTTTCTGACTCTGCATGCACAGTAACAGAGCTACCACGTTCAAGGCCCAGAAAGGTAGTAAGGACATCGGTAGAATAGTCCATGTAACATCAGTGGTTCAACCATAACTTTATGAAGCTACGAGAATACTTTTTGTGCGCAAATGAAACAAAAATAACAGCTTTATTCACCAGTTCCTCTCTTCCGTGTCAGACTTCAATGCGCGTACACGACAGTACTACGCATGTGTGTGATGCTGCTGACGCAGGAGATGGCGTTTCTGATGTAAAACCTGGATGCACTGCACCTTGTTTACAAGCAGAGGAATGCACACGTATGCACCGTGGTACTGTCGTGAATGGCGACGGAGACTGACACGGAAGAGAACAAAACGTTGAATGAAGTCATTTATTTTTGTTTTCTTTGCACACAAAAAGTATTATCGTAGCTTCATAACATTACTGTTGAACCACTGATGTTACACGGACTATTTTAAAGATGTCCTTACTACCTTTCTTGGCCTTGAAAGTGTCAGTTGCATTGCTGTCCATGCAGGGTCAGAAAGCTCTCGGATTTCATCAAAAATATCTTAATTTGTGTTCCGAAGATGAACAAAGGTCTTATGGGTTTGGAATGACATGAGAGCGAGTAATTCATGACAGAATTTTCATTTTTGGGTGAACTATCACTTAAAGATTATGACCACTAACAACTAGTCTTTGTTGTTTATGGCCCTGAAAGGTCTGAGACCATTGCCAAAGTGTTTAGTTTCCATTTTCCTACCTGAATATTCAGTGTATTTATTTGATTGAGAGGTTCAATATAAAAATGAACAAGAATTTCAGAATGTCTTGGTATTTGTTTTGTCCACATGAGCCATGTCACACATTTGTTTATTTGACTAGTGACCTAGAAATAATGCAGATTGCTTCACATTTCATAGTCATAATAACCACACCTTTTGTTTGAAATTTGTCCAAATTCACGTTCAAGTTATATTTTTAGTGTCGCAGCCATTTGGATCCTGTCTATCGAAAGCCATTTAACTCATGAAATGAACATGTTTCAGTGTCTGTAGATGGAATGGAGTGGAATGATGTGAAGTTCTTCCAGCTGGCGTCTCAGTGGCCCACTCATGTAAAGTACTTCCCCGTGGGGCTGTTCGGCTACAACAAATCATCCTCCTAGTGACCTCTGGGGGGAAAAAACATGGTGAAGTTTCCCAACCCTGCTTGCTGCGGCCTTCAGACGGAATGGGCCAGTTATTGTTCTTGAGGTGGTCATGCTTACTGTATGCGACAGATACTTGAGCCAAAGTGGAAGATGTTGAATTTCTCATCTGTAATTGGTGGGATTATCTGATTTGTTTTGGCCTTTAGAGGGCCAGAGCAGACAAAAGACTTAAGGATAAATAATGTGGGTTGAGAATATTATATATTAATCTTTTCTACCAGTGTTTTGTCTGCTGTGCGATTCATGACGCAATAATATCCCAATATTTATATTTAAATGGTACTTGATATTAGTGATTTAAAGTCTTTTGTTGTACAACTTTAATGTATGAATAGTGTTACTTCACCTGACTGAATCTGACATCCAAAGCTTCTCAAAGGCCCTTTGTTTGTAAAAAAAAAAAAAAAAGCCTTTACTTTATTAAAGAATTGTTTTTTGTCTATGTATAAAATATTCTTCTGTCCACTTGTATAGAAATATATTTCCTTAAGTGATTTTAACTAGTAATCAAAGCATGTACTGTATGTGTATGTGCTTACATCAGGGTTTGGCGAAGCTGCTATGGACACCTTATCCATTCCACTGTGGTTCTGAGATCTCTTTGCCGCTATTAATTTATTAATCTGCTATGACTAAAAGTAATCACTGGTCTCTACCTCCCCAATGCCTTCCATAACAAAGATGATTATCAGAGATGACTAATAATAAGGGTAAATGTGACACTGGTTTATTTTGTACCTTCCAAGTGACCTAAGACAATGTTTGGAAATCGTGGTACCATTACTGCCTTTCTAACTCTGTTGTGCTAAACCTAGTTAGTTTGCATGATGCAGTATATTGATCAGTATGATTGCAGTAAACGTGGTTATTTTGATAACACTACATGTGAAAAGTCAGTATTGTATACTGTATTTTGGTCTATAAAGCTGTAGTGTGATATTTTGACATTTACGTTAAATGTAAAATAAGTAATAAATCTATTGTAATCTGTTTGTTTTCTTTTTGTTTAAAATGTTCGAATGCTGAAAATGTGTACATTTGTTGCATTATCTGTAAGAAATGGGCTCAGCTGAAGTTCATCATTTAGCACAATGGTTTTCAAACTCAGAAAATTCATAAACTGGTTTTTAAAAAAAGTCAACGTTTTCCCCAGTTAATATAGTACACAAACGTAACTTTTTTTTTTTCACAATATACACTTTATATATACACTACCTTTTAAAATTTTGCAGTGAGCAAGGTCTTTTTTAAAGATGTTTTGCTACTTTGAAGGTACTTTTATTTAGCAAGAATGCATGTGATAGACACTTTTATATTGTTATAATGTATAATATAATGCGATAATTCTTGAGTACCAAATCATATTCAAGCATACTGGAATGATTTCTGAAGGATCATGTGACACTGAAGACCAGAGTAATGACTGCTGAAAATATTTGCAGTAATTACATTTTAAAATATATCAAAATAGAAAACAGTTACTTTATAATAATATTTCACTATTTTTACTGTATTTTTTGAGACTTTCAAAAAGATTTGTAACTATCACAAATTTGGAATGGTAGTGTATACACAGAAAAAAGGTTTAAAATGGTACCTTTTGGGGTACAACAGCTTGTCCCTGGAGCAGTACCCTCAAAATGAAAAACGAAAATTAGCCCATAAATTACTCACCCTCAATTTATCCTAGGTGTATGTGACTTTCTTCTTTCAGACGAATCCAGTCCGAGTTATATAAAAAATTGTCTTTGATCTTTCAAGCTGTTTAATGCCAGTCAGCCGGTGTTGCAGTGCATCAGTCCAAAAGAAGTGAAATAAAAAGCATGCATCCATAAAAAAAAGTGTCTCACACACCTCCGGGGGGTGAACAAAGGCCTTCTGCAGTGACTCGATGCGTTTTTGTAAAAAAAATCCATATATATTCATATATAACTTGTAGTAAAACGTATCCTTAAGGTACTAATACGTACCTATTAGGGGTAAAAAAGGTGCAAATATGTCCTTTTAAGGGTACTGCTCCAGGGACAAGCTGTTGTACCCCAAAAGGTACAATTCTGGCCCCTTATTTTTCTGTGTATATCTACCCTAATATTTTAGGTAGGGGGTTCCACCTCAAGGGATCATCACATTTGTGGGTCTGTGCCATAAAGTTTACAAGCCGTGATTCAGCAGATGCACTACAGGGACAGGTGAACTATTCAATGTGCGTGTTATGGAGAAACAGTGAGAGGGAGGGTGGGAGATAAAGGGAGAGAGAACTGCCCCCCTTTAATGCCCAATAACCCAGTTATGCCTGTCCAGTCAGAGCCAGTGAGGTTTGAAGGGGGAAACACACACAGATCCTCTCAGTGATGGGCTGTACAGGATGGAGGCTCCTCTGGCTGGCCTGCTTGGCATCCACTTTTCTTCAATATGGTGCGTGTTGATTTCATTCTTAATATTAGGCTGTTAAAAAACGTGACTTGGGCAGAAGAACATTTACACAACTACAGAAAACTTCTACTTGGCAACTTGCAGAAAGCTGATTTCAGTTTTGCACATTTCGAAAGCAGGGTTAACATGCTGTAACATACCATAACAATGTTGTTCATTTTACAAAACCTTTAGAAATCAATTCTTATTAGATGTGAAATTTTTAAATGAGGTATCATAAAACCAGTGTGCAACAAAGATCCCAAAGGTCATCTGAGCTTTTTTGTAATATGTTTTCAGTGTAACGTTACAATAATTGAAATATTTCTAATTTGGGTCAGTTTTTTTAGAAGAAGAAATGAACCCCATTGTTCTCTCTGTTGGTGTATTTGTCCTTGCCAAGGCTGCCAACTGTAATTAAGGCTTTAGAGTCACTGTGGTTTCCCACACACACACACACACACACAAAGGCCTGGGGGTGGCAGGATAGTGGGGGTGGGACTCATCATTACAGTAATGAGACAGCCATTGAGATGGAAGGAGAGAGCTTAAGAGCTACACAGCAGAACTGTGGAATAAATGGGCCTGCAAGTGATGTGTCATTGCCAATTGTTTGAAATAAGAAAAATGGCCACTATTCAAGTGCAAACGTGCATTAAAATGATCCCGCTTGAGTGTTTCCCCTACCCCATTCAGGTGCAGTCCGGGTGACCATGGGGGAGTCTGGTGTGGAGGTTGTGCAGGGAGATTCTGTCACACTGCCCTGTTCATTCTTCACCATGATGCCCTTGTTCAGACTCAGCATCATCTGGACTCTGACCCCGCTCTCAGACCCCGACTCCCCCATGCAGGTCAGTCTATCGATCTATCAATTCATTTGACTAAAAGTTTCATAGAATGAATGGACTGAACTGTGACAATGATCAACTAGTAGAACTTAAGGCCTATTTACACCAAAAATGATAACTATTACTTTAACTATGACCAAGATTTAAAAATAGAGAATAATGGAGTCCATAATTATAATGTTTTTTTTCACCTGATGAACAATTAGAACATTGACAGCCAATCAAAATCCATCAAACTTTAAAGTGTGGAACTTGAGGCCAGGACACACCAAGCCGATGGTTGGTCACGGGCTAATGTCAGGCCGTCGGTGAGTGTCTGTTGGGCTAGTTTTTGCAATGTGTTTCACATGTTGGCGGCAGTTCGCCCCATTTAACATGTTGAATCGTGTCGGGGCCACAGGTGTGAGAGTGAGAAATCTGATTGGACGTTCAGTTTAGCGAACGAGTCAATGCAAGAGAATTAATGCATAAATGATTAAAACAGGCAAACGAGCATTCCAGTATGCAAATATTTTCATAACAAGCCATATAGTCCACTAAAAATGAAAAGTTTAATCTTTTACTCAACACCATGTCGTTCCAAACCTATATGAGTATATTTTTTTATTTTTTATTTATTTATATAAAGGTAAATGTAATCTCTTATAATACTAGGTAAAGAAAATTTGAGGAATAAATTAAAGGGAACACAACATGTCAATATGTTGTCTTAATGTACATATCTAGTGAGCACACAATAAGTTGTATTAGCAACACTTTGAAAACAGTTTGAAAATACAACTGATCTCCATTACTTTTTAATTCATTAAAAAGAAAAAAACACTTTAGGTTTCAATATCTTCGATATGGAAATAACCTTTACTGTACCTTCTGATCACACTGCAAAAACAAAAAAAAAAAGTTTGGTCTTGCTTTCCAGTCTAAACATTCTGAAATCAAGATACATTAATACATTTACTCCAGAAGCAACATGACACAAATTCACTGACTGATATTTGTTCTTGTTTTAAGCATAAAGTCACTTAATGCTCATTGTTTTTATGACTCTTGATTTGAGGATGTTTAGATATTGGAATACAAAAATACTGAGGAAGACTAATTTTTTTACAATGTACGCAACATTGAATTTCATGACTAAGAATTTATTTTATTTAATGCCGTGACTTTATGAATGTAAGACTTTCAGTTCACTTTTAAGACCCTTCAGCGAAGGCCTTAAACTATGGATTGGTGAATTAAGACTTTTTAAGACCCACAGAAACCCTGAAAAAGATAATTTGAAGAATGATGGAAACCAAACAGTTTCACTTCACATTGACTTGCATTGTATTTACTGTTCATATAATGCAAGTCAATAGGAAACAAAACTGCTTAGTTACCAACATTCTTCAAAATATCTTTGCTTCCTGCAGAAAAATAAAGTCATATAGGTTTAGAACGACATGGGGGTGTGAGTAAAAGACTGAAATGTCATTTTTTGTTGGGCTATCACTTTAAAATACCTTAAAACCTGTTGGTCTGGATGATAAAGTTATTGTTATTATATAATTCTTAGTGTAAACAGACTTTAGTTAGACGCAATATTGAATCCCAGATGAAAAATAAAGCTGTGAGGGTTAGGATGCATCTCAGTCAGCTCCCTAGTTCACTAGTCAGGGAACTGACCGGGGGTTCAAACATTTTAAACGTTAAACAGGAATAAAATAAAAGTCATAACGACATTGGCCAGGGTCCTTGACTAGAGTCCAAATTCATGTACACTATATACTGCTTCACAAGCTGATTCAGGTGTCAGCTGAGATTTTAGTCTTTACAATGACATGCACTGTATAAAGGTACTAGATCACATTTCCAACGTTTTTGGAAAGATGTTTTGTCAGCTGAACCATTGCCATGTTAAACAACTACAATTCTCATTTTCATTCTTGTCAAAAATACTGTAAATATGAGTATGATCTGTAAGGACTGGTATCTCTGTCGTTGTGCAGGTGATCGTGTATGATCATGGACAGGTGATTGAAAGTCCTTCATTCATGGGCAGGGTGGGATTTGTGGGAATGCCCTGGAGCGCGGACATCATTTTGAACTACACGCGTGTCTCTGACGCTGGAGTCTATCGCTGTGTGGTCAGCAACCCACCTGAGACTGGAGACCCTGGCATAGGAGAGCTCAGCCTCACTGTTTTGGGTATCATATACTGCATCATAATAGTCATACTAATAGCTATTTCACAGCTAACTATGCAATATCACACGAGCAAAAGTGCTGTCGCACTGCTGCGATTCTAAACACAACACACTAGGTCAAACAATCAAACCAACAACACGACTGCAAGTGTGATGTGGCTTTTATATAACAGTTCCGTAAACATCAAATTGAGTAACTTACATTTGAGACACAGTATTGCAAGTTAAAACAGTCTGATGTCGCTCCGTCAACGAAAATAGGTCCAAACAAAGACACAAGTGGTGCAGGAATGTTCCTGAATGAATCGGTTGTGTTGAGCGAATCGGTTGAATCAATGACTCACTCACAGAAACAGTCGCTTATCGCCAACTACTGGCGAAACGAAGTAACCTGTAAAAAAATCACTGATAATGGCTCAATTTGGATTAGCATACTAGCATATTACGTTTTCACCATATAAAGAAAAATTATACAAAAATTGTAGTTTTTTCATATTTAATGTTGTCGATGTTCATAACAGTCTCCTAACAGAAAAACGGTTGTTATTAGCAAACTAAAACTATTAAAATAGTTTTCATTAATTTAAATAAAGCTGAACTAAAATAAACTATTAATATGCTGAAATCTAAAAAAAAAAACAACCTAAAAACGAAAAAAAATAAAATGTTGTATTGGAAGCTAACTGAAGTAATATCCCATTCCAAGCTAACAATTTTTGGTTCCCAGAACATTCCCTGTTGGTTAGCCAGGAAAGTTTTCTTAACGTAAATAGAACGTTCCCTTTAGGTTATAGAGGAATGTTCTGGGAACGTTCTATTTACATTCCTAGAAGGTTCCCAGAATGTTCTCCTAACCTCTTTACTCCGACATACCACTACTGGACATCAGTAATCCAGCACTCCCGCGTCCCGTAGAGTAAGTGGCATGGAAGACGGACGGCTATGGACCTCAACAATCAGTACTACAAACCATGTCTACAAACCAAAAACTAACCTCTGGGAACGTTCTCAAGTTTAGGTTATGAAAAAAGAACCTCCAGGGAACGCTCCTAGAATGTTATTTGGTTCACAAAAAATAACCAAATGGGAACCATATGGGAACGTGAGGGGAACAGTGCTACAATTACTAAAATCTAAAAAGCTAAATATCCATATAAAAAAAAGTGACAAAGGTAAATAACAAAAATTACTAAAACTTAAAATAAATATAAAAGTTAAAGAAAGCTCATTTGAAATATTCATAAAAACTATAAAAAATAAAATAACAGTGAACCATAATACCGCAGATTAAGGAGGCCAGGATGGTCAGCCAAACCACATTTTGCAACCACATTTCCACCAGTGTTTGGGCAGCATATTATTATTATTTTTTGCCTACATTCAGACATGATTCATTTCAGATCCTGCTGCTATACTTCACATAATATGTTTAACTCTTTCTCCTTGTAGGCCTATGAGTTCAGGTTTCATAACTTTTTCTCTGTGTGTGTGCAGCACCTCCGTCTCTTCCTGTGTGTCTATGGGAAGGGGACACCGACGCTGGAGGCAATGTGCTACTGTCCTGTGTGGTGGCGGAGGGCTTTCCTACTCCACAGGTGATCTGGGAAAAGCTAGAACCGGATAAGATGACACTGCCAGTGAACAAGGATGGTAAAAAAAAAAAAAAAAAAAAGTTTTATTACAGAGGTACAAAACACATCAGGCATGCAGAAACAATTTTTCATACCTGTATCTGTCACAGGGGACACGATGGGCTCGGTGCACATTGCCAATGTGTCTGCGCAGACCTCTGGCCTCTACCGCTGCTCAGTGACCAACCCACTGGGAACCCAGCACTGCTACATTAACCTGTCTGTCTACACACGTGAGTCTCTCTGTACTGCAGGATTGAAATGACATGGGAGTGAGTAAATGACAGATTTGTTTCCTTTCTTTTCTGTGAATGTGTAGCTCCGGATAATTCTCCTGGCATCCTGCAGGGGGTGCTGTTGAGTCTCTCCATGGCCCTGCTCCTGCTGGCTCTGATGGTGCTGGTGCTGTGGCTCCACCGTTCGGCACAGGAGAGCAAATGGAGGAACAGCCATGAGGAAGATGAGTGCTATAATGAGATCAAATACACACCCTCTCTCATTAAACGCTCTTTTGTTTGAGACAAGGACAGGAAGTGATCATCTGGATCATTGCTGCACTAATCTATTGTGAAGGCCAGTTTGTGTCAAAGGGGAGAACATTGGCTAAATAAAGCACAGATTTATACTTTTTCTGATAAATAATCCTTTGTGGTCCAGTGCTTTTTAAGTGCTTAAATGCATTAAAGTTACCCTAAAGACTACAGTCACTATTGTAAACAAACATAAAAAAAATGTTTATCCTTAGGTAATCGATAGCACGCCACAAATGCTATAAAATACATTTTAATTGTATTTAACCCAGAATATAAATTTAGGGACTTCTAAAGCACAAGCTGTACATAATCTAAACAGACAATCAGAAGTCACTATAAATGAATGCAAGTGGAGTATGGTCTTTTGGTAGATATGTATATGCTTTGTAGAGGGTGATATTGGACATCGATTTCATTCGGTAAATTCATACATGGCTTAAAGTTGATTGTAATTGCGTTTGTCTTTGGAATTAAACCTCCAATTTAACTAATAAAAATGTGGATCACCAAGCATTTTTAGTTTGAGAAAATTCATTTGTGAGTTAATCTGAAACTTTTTGCATATTTTCATTTTGTTTGTATATGTACATATATATTTTATATATATATATATATATATATATATATATATAAAGAGAGAGAGAGAAGGTTTCATAACTTTTTCTCTGTGTGTGTGCAGCACCTCCGTCTCTTCCTGTGTGTCTATGGGAAGGGGACACCGACGCTGGAGGCAATGTGCTACTGTCCTGTGTGGTGGCGGAGGGCTTTCCTACTCCACAGGTGATCTGGGAAAAGCTAGAACCGGATAAGATGACACTGCCAGTGAACAAGGATGGTAAAAAAAAAAAAAAAAAAAAGCTTTATTACAGAGGTACAAAACACATCAGGCATGCAGAAACAATTTTTCATACCTGTATCTGTCACAGGGGACACGATGGGCTCGGTGCACATTGCCAATGTGTCTGCGCAGACCTCTGGCCTCTACCGCTGCTCAGTGACCAACCCACTGGGAACCCAGCACTGCTACATTAACCTGTCTGTCTACACACGTGAGTCTCTCTGTACTGCAGGATTGAAATGACATGGGAGTGAGTAAATGACAGATTTGTTTCCTTTCTTTTCTGTGAATGTGTAGCTCCGGATAATTCTCCTGGCATCCTGCAGGGGGTGCTGTTGAGTCTCTCCATGGCCCTGCTCCTGCTGGCTCTGATGGTGCTGGTGCTGTGGCTCCACCGTTCGGCACAGGAGAGCAAATGGAGGAACAGCCATGAGGAAGATGAGTGCTATAATGAGATCAAATACACACCCTCTCTCATTAAACGCTCTTTTGTTTGAGACAAGGACAGGAAGTGATCATCTGGATCATTGCTGCACTAATCTATTGTGAAGGCCAGTTTGTGTCAAAGGGGAGAACATTGGCTAAATAAAGCACAGATTTATACTTTTTCTGATAAATAATCCTTTGTGGTCCAGTGCTTTTTAAGTGCTTAAATGCATTAAAGTTACCCTAAAGACTACAGTCACTATTGTAAACAAACATAAAAAATTTTTTTATCCTTAGGTAATCGATAGCACGCCACAAATGCTATAAAATACATTTTAATTGTATTTAACCCAGAATATAAATTTAGGGACTTCTAAAGCACAAGCTGTACATAATCTAAACAGACAATCAGAAGTCACTATAAATGAATGCAAGTGGAGTATGGTCTTTTGGTAGATATGTATATGCTTTGTAGAGGGTGATATTGGACATCGATTTCATTCGGTAAATTCATACATGGCTTAAAGTTGATTGTAATTGCGTTTGTCTTTGGAATTAAACCTCCAATTTAACTAATAAAAATGTGGATCACCAAGCATTTTTAGTTTGAGAAAATTCATTTGTGAGTTAATCTGAAACTTTTTGCATATTTTCATTTTGTTTGTATATGTACATATATATTTTATATATATATATATATATATATATATATATATAAAGAGAGAGAGAGAGGTAGGGGGTTCCACCTCAAGGGATCATCACATTTGTGGGTCTGTGCCATAAAGTTTACAAGCCGTGATTCAGCAGATGCACTACAGGGACAGGTGAACTATTCAATGTGCGTGTTATGGAGAAACAGTGAGAGGGAGGGTGGGAGATAAAGGGAGAGAGAACTGCCCCCCTTTAATGCCCAATAACCCAGTTATGCCTGTCCAGTCAGAGCCAGTGAGGTTTGAAGGGGGAAACACACACAGATCCTCTCAGTGATGGGCTGTACAGGATGGAGGCTCCTCTGGCTGGCCTGCTTGGCATCCACTTTTCTTCAATATGGTGCGTGTTGATTTCATTCTTAATATTAGGCTGTTAAAAAACGTGACTTGGGCAGAAGAACATTTACACAACTACAGAAAACTTCTACTTGGCAACTTGCAGAAAGCTGATTTCAGTTTTGCACATTTCGAAAGCAGGGTTAACATGCTGTAACATACCATAACAATGTTGTTCATTTTACAAAACCTTTAGAAATCAATTCTTATTAGATGTGAAATTTTTAAATGAGGTATCATAAAACCAGTGTGCAACAAAGATCCCAAAGGTCATCTGAGCTTTTTTGTAATATGTTTTCAGTGTAACGTTACAATAATTGAAATATTTCTAATTTGGGTCAGTTTTTTTAGAAGAAGAAATGAACCCCATTGTTCTCTCTGTTGGTGTATTTGTCCTTGCCAAGGCTGCCAACTGTAATTAAGGCTTTAGAGTCACTGTGGTTTCCCACACACACACACACACACACAAAGGCCTGGGGGTGGCAGGATAGTGGGGGTGGGACTCATCATTACAGTAATGAGACAGCCATTGAGATGGAAGGAGAGAGCTTAAGAGCTACACAGCAGAACTGTGGAATAAATGGGCCTGCAAGTGATGTGTCATTGCCAATTGTTTGAAATAAGAAAAATGGCCACTATTCAAGTGCAAACGTGCATTAAAATGATCCCGCTTGAGTGTTTCCCCTACCCCATTCAGGTGCAGTCCGGGTGACCATGGGGGAGTCTGGTGTGGAGGTTGTGCAGGGAGATTCTGTCACACTGCCCTGTTCATTCTTCACCATGATGCCCTTGTTCAGACTCAGCATCATCTGGACTCTGACCCCGCTCTCAGACCCCGACTCCCCCATGCAGGTCAGTCTATCGATCTATCAATTCATTTGACTAAAAGTTTCATAGAATGAATGGACTGAACTGTGACAATGATCAACTAGTAGAACTTAAGGCCTATTTACACCAAAAATGATAACTATTACTTTAACTATGACCAAGATTTAAAAATAGAGAATAATGGAGTCCATAATTATAATGTTTTTTTTCACCTGATGAACAATTAGAACATTGACAGCCAATCAAAATCCATCAAACTTTAAAGTGTGGAACTTGAGGCCAGGACACACCAAGCCGATGGTTGGTCACGGGCTAATGTCAGGCCGTCGGTGAGTGTCTGTTGGGCTAGTTTTTGCAATGTGTTTCACATGTTGGCGGCAGTTCGCCCCATTTAACATGTTGAATCGTGTCGGGGCCACAGGTGTGAGAGTGAGAAATCTGATTGGACGTTCAGTTTAGCGAACGAGTCAATGCAAGAGAATTAATGCATAAATGATTAAAACAGGCAAACGAGCATTCCAGTATGCAAATATTTTCATAACAAGCCATATAGTCCACTAAAAATGAAAAGTTTAATCTTTTACTCAACACCATGTCGTTCCAAACCTATATGAGTATATTTTTTTATTTTTTATTTATTTATATAAAGGTAAATGTAATCTCTTATAATACTAGGTAAAGAAAATTTGAGGAATAAATTAAAGGGAACACAACATGTCAATATGTTGTCTTAATGTACATATCTAGTGAGCACACAATAAGTTGTATTAGCAACACTTTGAAAACAGTTTGAAAATACAACTGATCTCCATTACTTTTTAATTCATTAAAAAGAAAAAAACACTTTAGGTTTCAATATCTTCGATATGGAAATAACCTTTACTGTACCTTCTGATCACACTGCAAAAACAAAAAAAAAAAGTTTGGTCTTGCTTTCCAGTCTAAACATTCTGAAATCAAGATACATTAATACATTTACTCCAGAAGCAACATGACACAAATTCACTGACTGATATTTGTTCTTGTTTTAAGCATAAAGTCACTTAATGCTCATTGTTTTTATGACTCTTGATTTGAGGATGTTTAGATATTGGAATACAAAAATACTGAGGAAGACTAATTTTTTTACAATGTACGCAACATTGAATTTCATGACTAAGAATTTATTTTATTTAATGCCGTGACTTTATGAATGTAAGACTTTCAGTTCACTTTTAAGACCCTTCAGCGAAGGCCTTAAACTATGGATTGGTGAATTAAGACTTTTTAAGACCCACAGAAACCCTGAAAAAGATAATTTGAAGAATGATGGAAACCAAACAGTTTCACTTCACATTGACTTGCATTGTATTTACTGTTCATATAATGCAAGTCAATAGGAAACAAAACTGCTTAGTTACCAACATTCTTCAAAATATCTTTGCTTCCTGCAGAAAAATAAAGTCATATAGGTTTAGAACGACATGGGGGTGTGAGTAAAAGACTGAAATGTCATTTTTTGTTGGGCTATCACTTTAAAATACCTTAAAACCTGTTGGTCTGGATGATAAAGTTATTGTTATTATATAATTCTTAGTGTAAACAGACTTTAGTTAGACGCAATATTGAATCCCAGATGAAAAATAAAGCTGTGAGGGTTAGGATGCATCTCAGTCAGCTCCCTAGTTCACTAGTCAGGGAACTGACCGGGGGTTCAAACATTTTAAACGTTAAACAGGAATAAAATAAAAGTCATAACGACATTGGCCAGGGTCCTTGACTAGAGTCCAAATTCATGTACACTATATACTGCTTCACAAGCTGATTCAGGTGTCAGCTGAGATTTTAGTCTTTACAATGACATGCACTGTATAAAGGTACTAGATCACATTTCCAACGTTTTTGGAAAGATGTTTTGTCAGCTGAACCATTGCCATGTTAAACAACTACAATTCTCATTTTCATTCTTGTCAAAAATACTGTAAATATGAGTATGATCTGTAAGGACTGGTATCTCTGTCGTTGTGCAGGTGATCGTGTATGATCATGGACAGGTGATTGAAAGTCCTTCATTCATGGGCAGGGTGGGATTTGTGGGAATGCCCTGGAGCGCGGACATCATTTTGAACTACACGCGTGTCTCTGACGCTGGAGTCTATCGCTGTGTGGTCAGCAACCCACCTGAGACTGGAGACCCTGGCATAGGAGAGCTCAGCCTCACTGTTTTGGGTATCATATACTGCATCATAATAGTCATACTAATAGCTATTTCACAGCTAACTATGCAATATCACACGAGCAAAAGTGCTGTCGCACTGCTGCGATTCTAAACACAACACACTAGGTCAAACAATCAAACCAACAACACGACTGCAAGTGTGATGTGGCTTTTATATAACAGTTCCGTAAACATCAAATTGAGTAACTTACATTTGAGACACAGTATTGCAAGTTAAAACAGTCTGATGTCGCTCCGTCAACGAAAATAGGTCCAAACAAAGACACAAGTGGTGCAGGAATGTTCCTGAATGAATCGGTTGTGTTGAGCGAATCGGTTGAATCAATGACTCACTCACAGAAACAGTCGCTTATCGCCAACTACTGGCGAAACGAAGTAACCTGTAAAAAAATCACTGATAATGGCTCAATTTGGATTAGCATACTAGCATATTACGTTTTCACCATATAAAGAAAAATTATACAAAAATTGTAGTTTTTTCATATTTAATGTTGTCGATGTTCATAACAGTCTCCTAACAGAAAAACGGTTGTTATTAGCAAACTAAAACTATTAAAATAGTTTTCATTAATTTAAATAAAGCTGAACTAAAATAAACTATTAATATGCTGAAATCTAAAAAAAAAAACAACCTAAAAACGAAAAAAAATAAAATGTTGTATTGGAAGCTAACTGAAGTAATATCCCATTCCAAGCTAACAATTTTTGGTTCCCAGAACATTCCCTGTTGGTTAGCCAGGAAAGTTTTCTTAACGTAAATAGAACGTTCCCTTTAGGTTATAGAGGAATGTTCTGGGAACGTTCTATTTACATTCCTAGAAGGTTCCCAGAATGTTCTCCTAACCTCTTTACTCCGACATACCACTACTGGACATCAGTAATCCAGCACTCCCGCGTCCCGTAGAGTAAGTGGCATGGAAGACGGACGGCTATGGACCTCAACAATCAGTACTACAAACCATGTCTACAAACCAAAAACTAACCTCTGGGAACGTTCTCAAGTTTAGGTTATGAAAAAAGAACCTCCAGGGAACGCTCCTAGAATGTTATTTGGTTCACAAAAAATAACCAAATGGGAACCATATGGGAACGTGAGGGGAACAGTGCTACAATTACTAAAATCTAAAAAGCTAAATATCCATATAAAAAAAAGTGACAAAGGTAAATAACAAAAATTACTAAAACTTAAAATAAATATAAAAGTTAAAGAAAGCTCATTTGAAATATTCATAAAAACTATAAAAAATAAAATAACAGTGAACCATAATACCGCAGATTAAGGAGGCCAGGATGGTCAGCCAAACCACATTTTGCAACCACATTTCCACCAGTGTTTGGGCAGCATATTATTATTATTTTTTGCCTACATTCAGACATGATTCATTTCAGATCCTGCTGCTATACTTCACATAATATGTTTAACTCTTTCTCCTTGTAGGCCTATGAGTTCAGGTTTCATAACTTTTTCTCTGTGTGTGTGCAGCACCTCCGTCTCTTCCTGTGTGTCTATGGGAAGGGGACACCGACGCTGGAGGCAATGTGCTACTGTCCTGTGTGGTGGCGGAGGGCTTTCCTACTCCACAGGTGATCTGGGAAAAGCTAGAACCGGATAAGATGACACTGCCAGTGAACAAGGATGGTAAAAAAAAAAAAAAAAAAAAGCTTTATTACAGAGGTACAAAACACATCAGGCATGCAGAAACAATTTTTCATACCTGTATCTGTCACAGGGGACACGATGGGCTCGGTGCACATTGCCAATGTGTCTGCGCAGACCTCTGGCCTCTACCGCTGCTCAGTGACCAACCCACTGGGAACCCAGCACTGCTACATTAACCTGTCTGTCTACACACGTGAGTCTCTCTGTACTGCAGGATTGAAATGACATGGGAGTGAGTAAATGACAGATTTGTTTCCTTTCTTTTCTGTGAATGTGTAGCTCCGGATAATTCTCCTGGCATCCTGCAGGGGGTGCTGTTGAGTCTCTCCATGGCCCTGCTCCTGCTGGCTCTGATGGTGCTGGTGCTGTGGCTCCACCGTTCGGCACAGGAGAGCAAATGGAGGAACAGCCATGAGGAAGATGAGTGCTATAATGAGATCAAATACACACCCTCTCTCATTAAACGCTCTTTTGTTTGAGACAAGGACAGGAAGTGATCATCTGGATCATTGCTGCACTAATCTATTGTGAAGGCCAGTTTGTGTCAAAGGGGAGAACATTGGCTAAATAAAGCACAGATTTATACTTTTTCTGATAAATAATCCTTTGTGGTCCAGTGCTTTTTAAGTGCTTAAATGCATTAAAGTTACCCTAAAGACTACAGTCACTATTGTAAACAAACATAAAAAAAATGTTTATCCTTAGGTAATCGATAGCACGCCACAAATGCTATAAAATACATTTTAATTGTATTTAACCCAGAATATAAATTTAGGGACTTCTAAAGCACAAGCTGTACATAATCTAAACAGACAATCAGAAGTCACTATAAATGAATGCAAGTGGAGTATGGTCTTTTGGTAGATATGTATATGCTTTGTAGAGGGTGATATTGGACATCGATTTCATTCGGTAAATTCATACATGGCTTAAAGTTGATTGTAATTGCGTTTGTCTTTGGAATTAAACCTCCAATTTAACTAATAAAAATGTGGATCACCAAGCATTTTTAGTTTGAGAAAATTCATTTGTGAGTTAATCTGAAACTTTTTGCATATTTTCATTTTGTTTGTATATGTACATATATATATATATATATATATATATATAAAGAGAGAGAGAGAATAATGACTGCTGAAAATTTAGCTTTTCCATCACAAGAATAAATTACATTTTAAAATAGAAAAGTTTTTACATTGTAATAACCTCCCTGAGCATAAAAGACTTTCAAAAACATTACAGACCCCAAATACTTGAACCGTAGTGTATATAATTTATAGTCAGTTTATTAAATTGCTACAATTCATTAATTAAATGGAGAACTAGTCAAATTAGTCACTTGTAACGCTACTGATTCAAATCGATATAAATGACTTTTATTCCTATAGTTTGTGAATCAAATTTACCAGCCTCTACATACATTTTGACACGGAGGAAAAAAAAGATCAATGGATTCACAAAAAGACTGTTTTGCAAACAATGACACAAAAAAGCTTTAATTTAAATAGGAGGGGGAAAAGAAAACACAAAAAAAATTTTTAAAAAAAAACTGTACATAACTTTGAATATTCAATAACAGTTTTTAAATAAAATGATCCTCCATATAACTAAAATTAAAAAAGAAAACAAAATACAGGATGGTGTACTATTTTACAATAGTTGTGCAAAAGCAGATAACCGATTCATTCCCCAGACTTCATGATTCTGTCGAGAGAGAGAGTCGGACCCCTCCGCATGCACAGATACACCGAAGCGTGACTCCCCCAAGACTCAAAGTAGTGTCCTCCATTGAAAAATAACCAGAAATCCCAATAATAATAAAATAGATTTATATATATATATATATATATATATATTTATATACAAAACATGCTGTACATATATGGCAGAGATGGGTTAGATCCCTTTTAAATCACTGACACCCAAGACTATGCAGTAACTTGTGCTTTCTCCCAGTACGAGACGTACTCCCTGTTGCTTTGGAAAAGTCACCCTAAAGATGAGAGAAATGGTCTTGATGGAAAGAGAGAAAGAGGTTGATCGGCCTCGAACCAAACGCTCGATAGCTACTGAAGTCCATTGTAAGAAGCCATAAACGGGGCAGGTTTGCTCAGCAGACTACATGAGAGACTTGAGATGGTGGTGTTCGGAAATAGACTCGGCTGCACAGTCTGCAGAAAGACTTGATGTTTAGTGTTCAAACAACTTGTGATATGGTCTGTTATGGGCAGAGAGGCCATCTATTTTCAGTGTTACAAACCTACTAACAATCTGTGGTTTAAGTGAGAATACGAAAGCGTGAGCATGATCAATTCGGTGTGAACTGCCTCTACTGGCACTAAACGAAGCTAGAGGCTCAAATCACATCAAAACTTCAGAACAAGAATCGGCCGTTTTGAATCCATCAGCTTTGTAAAATTAACACAATGGGGCCTCTCAACAGAAAACCGCATTATTTAGCATAAAACGGCATTACTCTGTGGAACCAGTGTAAAATTTCCAGCAAAAATCCTTCTCTTTCACCTGAACACCGTCTGTCGAATCGAAAAGCACCATTTTCCCATGGCGGCGCCCGCATGCTCAAACCATATCGTTCGACGCAAAGCCTTTTTCAGAGCACAGCTCAGCCACGTCAATCATTTTAAGCTGGGAAATTGTATGGTGAAAGAGCGCTGAAAGGCTTTCTGAATCAGAAAACCACTTTAAACAGCTCATGGGAAATTTCAAGCTCCTTTACATCGACACGCCACAGCTATTCCAGGCTGATGTCAGTGTTGTATTGTTTGACTGCGAGCATTTGATATGTTTGTTGTTGTAGTAGAGGCAGTAAGTGCCCTGCTTTCCACAGCAGGCGGTCTGAGCTTCGTTCGCCCAACAGCAGATATTTAACATCAGAATGACATCGAACTTTCCAGTTGTATTACACACAGATTTAGGGAATTAGTTAGTCACAATCCGGTGGATTCAAGAATGGGGGCAAAGGTTACAGTTCACTCATGTCCAGCTACTATCAGCACAATCAACAAAAAAACAGCCACTCCGCACATCTCCATTTGAGATCAGCAAACAAATAAATCTTCGTCTTTAGAATCGGTACATCTTTATTGTTTTTTTCCCCCATCAAGTTCTTCCAACTAAAACGCTGGAGTTTAGAAGTCAAAGCAGTAGTTTGGTTAGTTCTATTAGTAGTAGAGGGGGTGGTGCGGTAGCAGTAGTATTGCAGTAGAGGGAGACAAACTGCAGGCACTTGCAGCAGCAGGAAAAAGCCTGATGGGAGGCCAGGAGGCCCTCGTGTGCTCCGGCCCACTACATCACCATCAGAGCCCAATCGGTAGGGAGCAGTTTAGGAATTTAGTAGGTAGTCTGATTGCCTGTGGGATGTACAAAGAAAAGAAAAAGAGACAGACCACCGGTTTGATGACGTCTTCTTTGTCCCAACTGTCCTATGAATCTCAGGCCCCTCCGTCCTCACCTGAGCCGGCTGTAAACTACGCAGGGAGCACCAGGTGCTAAGGGAAGTGTGCATGTGAGCGAGTATTTGTGTGATTATATTCAAGTCTTATCCCTGAAGCTCGCTGAAGAACGGTCGTGCGGTGATGGGTGACACGATCGAATGTCTTTGCTGGAATGTGTGAGCTAGGAAATGACGGCTCAGTGAGGGGGAATCAAAATCGAGTCCTTTGGTCTTGAAAGGACAGTGGCTTGTGTGGTGGAAAGCTCTGGGCCTCAAAGGGAGAAATCCTGCACAATACGGCTGATGCGTAGCGAAGGACTGGATGCGTAGGTGTAAAAACGAAAGCTTGAGTAGGTTCAAGGCTGCTACAGAGGAGAGAAGAGTTCCCTTTTTGTTACTGCTGGTGGTACAGGTCACCGATTCGCTTTGATTTAATGACCTGACCCTCTTTATCTAAGAAAAGAAGAAAATCCCTTAAGATTGCACTGACTGGCCACTTTTTTTGGCTTTTAGGCCTGGAGGCCAGAACAGTAGCCAAAGAAGCTTAGGAGAGCTCAGTCCAGAGTTCATTACTTAACGCAGCACTCTTCTAGTGTGCTTCTGTATCTGGTGATGTGTTTATTAAGGAGACTTGCGAGAAACCTCCTAATATACGCAGAACTGACTGAAGATGCTTGAATTATAAAAAGGGTTGATAAGGTCAGCTTGAAGTCCTCCTAGCTCGCTCTCTCTGGATGGCGAGGATGACCATGGGCTCGTCTGATCCCAGCTGTGCAGGCTCAGCGGAGGTGCTCAAGTAAAGGCAGTTCTGTAGACTCCTTCCGTGCACTGGGCGGGTCTGATGATGTAAGGGGCGTGGTCTCAGAGGGTATGACTGCTCCCATTGGATCCAGTGTTGGGCTGGCATCCGAGGGCAGGACAGGGAGGGGAGGCTGCGAAGGCTAGGAAAACGTAAATAAATGGGTTATTAATATTTATACTAGTCAAAACTTTGGCTCTCTCGCTCATGCTCACAGAAGCTGCATTTATTGATCAAAAATACAGTATAAATTGTGAAAAATATTACAGCTTAAAATAACTGCTTGCCATTTCAATATATTTTAAACAATATATTATTTCTGTGACAGCAAAGCTGAATTTTTAGCAGCTATTACTCCAATCTACAGTGTCACATGATCCTTCAGAAATCATTCTGATATGAAGAGTTCTGATTTGTTGAACATTTCTTTAATTATCAGTGTTGAAAACATTTCTGCTGCTTAATATTTTAGTGAAAACCATGATGCATTTTAGGATTCTTTGACAAATAGAAAGTTCAAAGAACAGCATTTATTTAAAATAGATTTTTTTAATCTATTTAATTTTGATTAGTGCTGCTGTCAAACGATTAATCGCATACAAAATACAAGTTTTTGTTTGCATAATATATGCGTGTGTTCGGTGTATATTTATGTATATATAAATACACATACAGGATATTTTTGGAAAATGTTTACATGCATTTACATGTCTATATTTATATTCATATAATTTATATTATAAATAAATATATTTAATATATAAATAAAATTTTTCTGAAATATATACATGCATGTGTGTGTATTTATATATACATAAATATACACAGCACACACACATATATTAAAGTAAACTAAAACTTTTATTTTGGATGTGATTAATTGCGATTAATCGTTTGACAGCACTAATTTTGATTAATCAAAGAAAAAGTTTTGAAGTATTGATTGAAGATTTTTTTCTTTTCAAAGAACAGCATTTATTTAAAATAGATTTTTTTAATCTATTTAATTTTGATTAGTGCTGCTGTCAAACGATTAATCGCATACAAAATACAAGTTTGTTTGCATAATATATGCGTGTGTTCGGTGTATATTTATGTATATATAAATACACACATACAGGATATTTTTGGAAAATGTTTACATGCATTTATATGTCTATATTTATATTCATATAATTTATATTATAAATAAATATATTTAATATATAAATACAATTTTTCTGAAATATATACATGCATGTGTGTGTATTTATATATACATAAATATACACAGCACACACACATATATTAAAGTAAACTAAAACTTTTATTTTGGATGTGATTAATTGCGATTAATCGTTTGACAGCACTAATTTTGATTAATCAAAGAAAAAGTTTTGAAGTATTGATTGAAGATTTTTTTCTTTATGATATCCAGACAGTTGTACCATCCTGGCATTTTTAACTACATGCCACTCAAAAAATAAGTATAATTCAGCTAAAACGTGCCCATCATAGAAGATGTGCATTTAGGATATCTTATGTATTAATAGTCAGGAAGGGAAGCATGCATCCTAACCTGTGTGCGTATGCTCTGTGATGCTGAGCTGTCCCCTTCCATTACAGCAGGTCCATTGAATCCTTTCCTCCCTGACAGACTCCATTTGCTGTACAGAGCCTCATAGGGCAGCCCGCTACCATGTCCCAGGCTTAGGCCCCTCTGAGACGCCCTGTGACTGGGGTTATCCTGCAGGCTACTGGGGCAGAAGCGGTCTGCAGGCGGCAGGGCCACTGAACTACTGAAAGACAGCTGGGAGCTGGACAGGTGTTGCCCCAAAAGCCCATGGATGGAAGAGGTGCGGTGCAAGGAGCTAACCAACCCAGCATCCATCCTGCCTTCTGATTGGCTGAGCAGGGCAAGTGGGAGGGGCTGGGGATGCAGCGGCCAGGAAGGCCCAACGGGGTTGTCAGTCCCTTGAGAAAGGAAGGGAAAAGTGAAACTTACAGCCTGCACACATCATTGCTTTATTGACTGTACATTAACAGTACAAGAGAAGCAGGTGGCATACCCATTGAGGTCTGTACAATAGTGGGATGAGGCTGAGGGATGCTGGACGCTGTGTTCTGGGGAGGATGAGCTGCAGGGTTGTTACTGATGGAGGTAGAGCCGCCACCACAATCTGAATCCTCAATGTTCCCCCCACTGTTACATCCGGCACCACAACCCTTCTGAAGCCTGAAGAGAACAGAGAGCATTTAAATAAACTCTGAATGCCTAAAATGTGCTGTAACATGGCAAAATACACACATGTGCCACCTGACCTGTCCCAGCTGCTGATGAACCACGTGTAAATGTTGTGAGGGCTGATGGGGCCTCCCCAGACAGAACGTAGCTGAACATGGGCCCCAGCGTAGGAGGTGGAGAGTGGGGAGACATAGATAGGGTATCCGATGGGCTGGTCACAGGACGAGTTAATCATGTTCCTCAGGGCTTGTTTGGCATTCTGGATGCTGCCGCGTTCAGGGTTCCGGTTCCGCAGGAAGACCAGCTCCTGCTGCTGTCCGGCCCACAGCCCGCGCACACACTCCCGGTTCACCTGAAGGAAGCAACAGAGAGAGATTAGTTATGGTAATGCCACGATAAGATACACTGTACATGCGTATAAACAGGCTTCTGCAGCAAAGCACCTTGATGACTCTGAAGCTGAGGAAGCGTTTGTTCAGCATGATGATCTTGTACTCGTCACTTCCGTCATCCATAACGTGGCGGAGAGCAAGCAGAGAAGGCATGTTGGCCAGGATAGCGCTGCGCCACACAGGGTCGCCTTCGTGAGATATCAGCATCTTATCTTCATTAGCAGTGATGGCATCGTACAGCACCCCTGGGTCCTCATACTCATCAGGAGAGGTGAAGTGATCCTGTGGAGTAAACAGGAGACAAAAAATTGGCTCATGAGAATCAAGTAAACCAGAGATCCATTCCATAATTGCATCATCATCAGACCACGTGATGTTCACTTTACCACACCAAAAGTCTATTTTGGTGCAAGCTATGAATATATCACTGTGTTGGCCTAGAAACCTAATTAAAGTGTGATGTCAGTAGGGATGGATGAATGCCTAAGCTGTACCTGGTGTAGTTTGAGGGACATCCGTACACCTGGAGCAGTCATTCAAGAAAAAAAAGAAAAGAAAATTAAGTGAGGAAAAAACATGTTCAAGCCAAATTAGTTGCAGCTAAACATGAAACTATATAGTATCTGAAAGCACCATTTTATGCACCAAAATTATTCATATTATTGAACTCCACTACCATGTTTTTTCTTGTCATACAAATAGACTTGTGCCGGTATTCGGTAATGCGGTATATCGCGATAATGAATATGCACGATATTGTTATAGTCGGCACTTCTAAATACCGTGAATAATTATATATTACAAATTATTCCGAAACTTGGATGATTGCTCTGCCATCTCAGATAGTGGAGGTTTTATTTGAGTCTCTCGTCTGAGAGGAACTGACCTTGACATAATATGTGATGAGAATTTTGCGCAGGTCAAATACTTGAAGCATGGAAGCTGCGTTGTTGTCGCTAATGCTGTAGCCTTCCAGCACATATTTGGTGGCGGCCACCTCCCAAGCCAACCAGCGCTGGCCAAAGGCCGCGTTGAAGGAGAGCATGTGGGGGAGATGACCTGGTTCACAGCAGCAACAGCCTTCATCTTCCTCCACCCCTTCAGTGATTGCCTCCACCTCCCTCTGCTGGCAATATGTTCCTGAAAATAGTCATTCAAGAAAAAAAAGAAAAGAAAATTAAGTGAGGAAAAAACATGTTCAAGCCAAATTAGTTGCAGCTAAACATGAAACTATAAAGTATCTGAAAGCACCATTTTATGCACCAAAATTATTCATATTATTGAACTCCACTACCATGTTTTTTCTTGTCATACAAATAGACTTGTGCCGGTATTCGGTAATGCGATATATCCCGGTAATGAATATGCACGATATTGTTATAGTCGGCACTTCTAAATACCGTGAATAATTATATATTACAAATTATTCAGAATTTTGAATGCATTTTAAGAATACTTTTCTCATCAACTAGTCAAAATGCACAGCACCGCTGTATGCTGCGTGAAAGACGGTGCCACTCTGATGTAAATAAGCGCGGACAAGAAACACATGGCGAAAGGTGAGAGGGACTCTGAATGAAAGCGCACTTTCACTCTCCGACAGCATATGGCGCTAAACTGCAGAAATAATAATAATAATAATAATTCATTTAAATGCAGCCGTTACCCCGGAAACCCTGTAAATAAAGCAGCTGCACTACTTTCTGTTTCTGAATCATGTTTAAATTATTTAAACAGCCATTCAGATTTGTGTATTTGCTATGATGTTCATCACAGCACCAAATACTTAAATATTTAGACTTAATAGGCTATTTATTTTCAAACTTTTTTTACATAATCTGGACTACAACATGCCCTAGATATTGCTTGAAAGTGTTTTGATTCTTTACTGTTCGGTCACACTTTACATTAGGGCTTCATTAGTTAACTCATTAGTTAACAAACTGCCAATGAAAAATTCTTCTGAACATTCATTAATCTTAGGTATTCCAATATTTAACAACACGTTGTTAAAATCGAAAGTTGCAACAGTGTTATTTAATGAGCTAACATGAACTAAGACTTGTATTTTTTAACAAAGATTAATAACTTCTGTAGCAAATGTAGCTATTGCTCATTGTGAATGTTAATGCATTAACTAAGGTTAACTAATGAGGTCTTATTGTAAAGTGATACCTATTGGTCTTTATAGTTCTTATGCACTTTAATCTGTGTAAAACTTTTAACTTTATACATTTTTCTGTATTACTTTATTGCATTTAAATGTTCAGTTATTTTTATTATAAGAAAAAAAGTTATTAAACCTGTTATACTGTATTATGACAGCACTTTTTAAAAAAAACAAAATTTCAATATCGTGATAATATCATATACCGTGACAAAAGCATTAGCAATTAATCGCAATACGACAATTTGATACCGGTATATCCCTACATACAAATAAAAGTGACCAAGTCTCTGAATTAAAAAAAATAAAATAAAAAAGTAATATTTTAGAATCAGTATGAATCATGCTTTGAGATGTCTATACTACATGACTTGTGCCCTGAATTTTCACAATTTGCAGTCCGGAAGAAGCAACACTAGTTGGCGAAAGTCAGAGCCAGTCTGCAGATTTTGGCCAGTTGGTGTTGACAGATTTCACAGAAAATCACAGTGTATAATAGGCAGACTCTGATATTTTGAGCCAATTTTAGAACTCAATTTCATTTGGCATGCACCTCCTAGCTACAAAGCACATTTCTGTGCAAGTTTGTTGCTTTCAGAACAACTTAAATGGTCAGGTAGCATGTGATCCTCAGTCGTTTAGTGCTTTTGTCTCTAACCATTAACAAAGTTGGTAAGTTTGACACCTAGTGTTTTAAAAGTCATGTAGTGTAATCCAGTGGATAGAGAAAATAGTGCTGCATTTTGTTCCAGTCCCTCTCCTGTTGGCTCACCTCTGAACTCCAAGCCTCTGAGCTGGAAAGTGACGAGGCCGTTGCCGATCTCTATGATGTGTACGAGAGCGTTGAGGTAGTCGGAGGCCAGGATGAAGCAGTCTCCGGTGCTGTAGTTTCCCCAGCGGCCCAGCAGAAGGTCCCCACACAGTGAGTGCTGCAGAGAGCGCGTCAGATGCTCGTAGAAGATAGAGTTCAAATTGTTATCATCAGCACCTATCCAAGCGAGAGATAAGGGGAGATGCAAGGATAGATTAAGACAGTAGACAGATGATAGGTGTGTGTAACTCAGATACAATATCACATACCAGGGTTGCGGTCCAGCTGTGTGGCCAGACGTGTGTTGGAGTGATCCACCCGTTTGGTGCTGAAAGACAAAATGGTATTTAAGGGTTCTAGTCATGTCTTCAAACATTTTCTGGTAAGACTGAATTAACAAAAACAACGTGGCTGACATCTGCTCAAGATTTCTAAAGGCTTACTTGTAGTCTCGCTCCCAGAACTTCACAGGTCGGGTGTATGAAGTAACGAAAACAGCACTGCCCAGCACAGGGTTGAGAGGAGTGGAAAAGAGAGCAGAAAACACAGCTTGTACAAACAGCATGGCTGAGTCTGAGATCAAAACTAGAGTTAAGGGGAATTAATTTTTAATGATAAATAAACACACACATATACATACATACATATATACACACACACATATATATATATACATATATATACACATACATACATATACATACATATACACACACTTGTTTATTTATTTGTGACAAACTAGTTATCGACCAAGCAACTGCACCAACTGTGAAAACCAGCTAAAGGAGCTGAGGAGGAACATATAAAACCAATTGTACAGCTGTAACATTGGGCACAAATGAACAAGAACAGGTAAAAGTTATGAGATCAGCATTCAGGTCTGTGTGTGAGTAATGCCGGAAAAGGATACGGGGAACGGCAAATGGCTGAGCGAAGGCATGGAAAGCAGAACCCCATGTGATCTGCCAAGGTGCAATGTAGGTCAGCACAAAACGCAGCTTATACAGCAGATCCCACAGCTGCTCACACACAGGAGAGATGACAGCAACATCAGTCTTCATCTTTTGCTTTACAAACCCACACTCCAGTTACAGTGTAAGTTACACACTACATTCAAACCTTTAAAAATGTCACATAAATAGCATGTATACATTATGTAATTATATCCTAAACATTTCCTAAAAGGAATATTTTTGTCTTTTGTAATAATTTCACCAGAACCATTTAGATTTAATAAGTGAAGATAAAACTGATTAATAATATGATGTGTACAAGATCATAAGATCTAGATCTTAAAAGAAATGGTGGCCAGTTGAAATGCTTTCTTTAGACATTCATGCAAATTTTTATTTGTTGAAAGAAGAAAAAAAAACTACTGTCAACTACTTGTTTATACACCGTTCAAAAGTTTGGGGTCAGTTAGAAGAGAAAAAATAAATAAATTAATACTTTTATTCAGCAAGGAAACATTCATTTGATCAAGTGACAGTAAAAACATTTATAATGTTACAAATGATATCCATTTTATAAAAGAATCCTGAAAAAAGTATGATGGTTTCCAGAACAGAACAATTGTTTTTAACATTTATAAGAACTGTTTTTTGAGTACCAAATCAGCATATTAGAATGATTTCTGCAGGATCATGTGAGACTGAAGACTGTAATGGCTGCTGAAAATTCAGCTTTTCCGTCACAAGAATAAATTACATTTTAAAATATATTAAAATAGACATAACATTTCACTCTTTTAAAGTTTTACTACATTTGTGATCAAATGAATGCAGACATGGTGAACATAAGAGACTTAAAGCTGCAGTCCGTAACTTTGTGTTCAAAATTTACAACATTTATATAATAAGCGAGTACACCATGAATCCATTTTCCAAACCGTGTTTTTGGCTTGTCCTGAATCACTACGGTACACCTATAATAAGTGTTTATATTCGGACTATTTAGACTGGTTCGGGTAGGTACCGCTGCGGAGTAGCCCAGTACCTGCGTGATTCATCATAGACATAAACAGAGAGAAGTAGCTCCGGCTACAATGTTCTACCGCAAGACGCACGCAGTTCTGTTTATTAACCGCTAGAGCGCCAAAAGTTACGGACTGCAGCTTTAAATAAAAAATTTGACCAACCACAAACTTTTGAATGGTAGTGTACATATAGAAGTAAACTAGATTACGATGCACACTTGCACAACATTATAAGCGGATTCAAGGGACAGATATAAAACGTTACACGTAATGAATTTGGGTCTTATGAAGGCATCTAAGAGAAATGTGGATGTATTCTCAGACCTTGCTGAAGAGGATGGACATGCAGTAGTAGTCGAGGAGGAAGGTCTGTGAAAAGCGTGGGTAGTCGAATTGGAAGAAGAGGGCGGTGAAGCACAGAGTGACATACTGCTGAGATGGGATACAGAAGGACGAACGAAGTAGCTTCATTCCAGCCACTGAGATGAATAGAGCACGGCCACTAAAGGAACAAATAAAAGATGTCATCACTGTCCATGTCTAAAATCTAAAGTTTAAAACACTTGCACAACATTATAAGCGGATTCAAGGGACAGATATAAAACGTTACACGTAATGAATTTGGGTCTTATGAAGGCATCTAAGAGAAATGTGGATGTATTCTCAGACCTTGCTGAAGAGGATGGACATGCAGTAGTAGTCGAGGAGGAAGGTCTGTGAAAAGCGTGGGTAGTCGAATTGGAAGAAGAGGGCGGTGAAGCACAGAGTGACATACTGCTGAGATGGGATACAGAAGGACGAACGAAGTAGCTTCATTCCAGCCACTGAGATGAATAGAGCACGGCCACTAAAGGAACAAATAAAAGATGTCATCACTGTCCATGTCTAAAATCTAAAGTTTGAAACCACATTGAAAACCTTGAATTCAAAATCTTCCAAAACAAAGAGTAACATCAGCTAGTGTTGTGCTTTATTCTACACTAGGATGTTCCCGTTCTTACTAGGCTCCAGGTTTGTCAGGGTTTTGGCTGACAGTGTGAGCTTCAGTGGTGAGGGAGTTGAGCACTACAGCCGGATAGATGAAATACTTCTCCACACACTGCAGCCAAGCATACAGCTTCTCAAACCACATGAGCTGAGCAGCATCTGAGACAGAGAGGGATCAGTCCATCACACTTGTTCTCACATTCAGACATTAGTTTGTGCGTGTAGTTTTGAGTACTCACCTCGGACCTCAAACTGGCTGTATTCTCTGGAGCGCAGCACAGGGTGGGCCAAGCAGAACCAGGGCAGCTGTTTTCGGAGCTGAGGCAGGAGGTAGTGTGTTAAGAACCCCACCACCCCAGCCAAGATGTACAGGACGTAACTTAGAGCGGGCTGTGCAGAAAACACATATTAAAACCAAGACAGTAATTTACAAAAAATAAAAACTTCAAACGAACAGATTTGCTACAATGAACTAGACTTTACAAGACTAAAAATGATGTTCAGTCTTTGCATGAGGACTAGTTCTCACAATGAGCCTATTAACATACTCAAAATCAAATTCTAGATGGCCTACTGACCTGCAGAGCAATAAAGACGGTGCTGGCACTAATGGCGAAGGTGATAATGGCCATAAGAGGGCACATGACCAGATCTGAGTGAAGAGTCTCTTTCTGCAGAGTCAGAGAGAAGGGAGCCATTTAAAAGCCATTGGAACGCCTATTTAGCAAAAGACAAATGCAAATGGAGAGTGCTTTTACCACAGAATTGCGCAATTTCTCTGGGAGAGGGTCTTTAATCTCTAATGGGGGCTCTTCTGGTGTTCGGCTCTCCAGCTCTGGGAAGAACTTGGAGCGGACTAGAGACCTGTCCAGAGAACAGTGTAAAAAACATAGAAGTTTAGATATTGATCACAGAGCTGTTGGTGCAGTAAGATGACTGGAAAATCATGTATGTGTGGTGACGCTGACCAGAAGATGGTTGGGTCGCTGCTCTGCCTGCTCAGATGATAGGACAAGGCCAGGAGGAGGCCACAGAAAACAGAGAAGAGTACCGGAACATGTGCCTCTCCCCACGGAGACTACACATACACGAACACATAAAATGAGTAAAGGAAGCACCAATAAACACAGTTCTACTGTGAAAGAGAGACACAGATTCCCACTTACATTGATGGCACCAAGGCAAAATCCATAAACCAGAGCCGCCACCAATATACTGCGCAAGAGACTATAGACTGAGGACAGGGGGCTTGTGGTTGCTGAAACACACAAATGAAAAGACATCATACTTGTGGTGCAGGGATGTACACAGTATGCCAGCTCCCTGGAAATCAAACCCATGACCTTGGAGTTGCAAGCACCATGCTGTACCAGTTGAGCAGAACCATCATAGCTGTAGTAGTAACACTTTAGAATAAAGTTCCATTTGTAAACGTTATATAAAATACTTATCATTGCTAGTTTATGTATCGATGTTAACCTTATTGTAAAGTGTTACTGCTATAGCATTAGTAAAGTATAACACCGGTCTCACCAGTTCCACCGAAAATGTGCATGTCCACCTGTTCCAACAAACACATGAGGAACGTGTTGACTTGAGGTAGAAACCCAAACAGGAAGATGATGGGAAAACAGAGGGAGAACACTGCAAAGGAAAACGTATGAATTATTAGGCTATTATATTTTGCACAACTCAATTAAGAAAGGATTAACAGCGAGTGAGCAGACCTATGAGCATATCTCTAGCGCAGAGCAGAAAGTGGGCGGAGAAGAAGGTGACCCCGTAGAGGGTGAAAGGCCTCATATTGTCCGAGTGGCCAACCAGGTCAAATACCCAGATCAGCACACAACACAAGCAGAAATACACTGGTCGGCTGTACACTATGATCCAGTTATGGCCCTGCAACGAAGACCACATTAAATTAATTTCTGTTTGATTTCAGCTAGGCGGGTCCAAGAAAAGACGGACAAACAGTCATATACTCACATGCATCGGAGATGCTGCATCGGGCTGCACACTCTGAAATGGACAAGGGGAAAAAAAAACTGATTAACACAAACACAACACCACTATCGGGACATGTGAATACCGTACAATTATCAAGAGATGCCAACACCAACATACTGCTAAAACAAACACAAACAGACCATTCCAAAAATGTTCACACTGACCTTTAGCAAGCTGTACTGACAGCTGGCAATGACTAGGCAGAACTGGAAGACCCAGATGTCCCTAAAAAAGCCCTGGAGAAGCAACAGGAAGCCAAGGAACGCCACTAAGCTGGCCAACACCACCGCAAAAACATTCTCCCCAACTCGTCGGTTCCTGTCCAGTAAGGCTAGCAAAGCAAGCCTGTCGTAATGAACTCTTAGCCATTTCCCCGGCAGCACCCAGAAACGGTAATACTGTTTAGGCTTGGCCTTTTCCTCAATCATCAATGTGTTCTCCTGGGATTCGTGAGGGGACTCATGATCTAGGTCAAACTACAAAGAGAAAAACATCAATTAGGGGTGGGCGATATGAGCTCAAATTCATGTCACGATATTTTACACTGTCCAGGCGATACCGATTTTATATAGCTATATGAGAAGAAAAAAATTACAAGCAAAATATTTTAACCTTATATAACTAGAAAAAGTGAGGGATTGGACATAGACCTGAAAATACTTTTTTATTGTACTATTGTTTTTCTCAAAAAGTGCAAACGTGCAACATGAGGTAGGCCTGTATGAATTAAATTAAATATTGTGTGTTTGAGTAGGCCAGTGATCCCCAAACTTTCCCTTTTGTAGAGAAAAATCTTTTCAAGCACCCCCCCCCTTTTTTTCTTTCTTATGCTCACCAAGGCTACAATTATTTATTAAAAATACAATAAACACTGTAATATTGTGAAATATTGTCAATTTAAATGATCTATTTGAATGTTTTAACATATAGGCTACTGTATTCCTGTGATCAAAGCTGAATTTTCAGCATCATTACTCCAGTCTTCAGTGTTACATGATCCTTCAGAAACCATTCTAATAAGCTGATTTACTGCTCAGTAACCATTTCTTTTTATTATCAATGTTGTAAACGTTTATGCTGCTTAATTTTTTTGAGGAAACTATTTTTTTCATGATTCTCTTATAAATATTTGAAATGGTGAAGCGCTGGAGTTCGTCAGAAATAGAACGGGGCTTCAGTTTACTGTCATGGATTTGTCGTGTTGCGCCGCACCGCATCCACAGCAGAGAATATCACTGAATTCTATTTGCTTTTGTCAAATCGCGTCGCTCGCATCTGGTGTAGACACGTTGTTTTAGTATTTGTGAATCTTAAGTACATTCATAATCTGCTTTACTTTTACCTGGCACTGGAAGTCCTTTCACAAACTTGTAACTTACATGCTTAGAGCAGAACCATGTTCATTTATATTTCTACATGGCTCCCTGCCATAAAACTTTGATTCTTCAATCGCGCCATCTAGTGGTCTGTTATTGATACAATCACAACTGCTACAACTGATAACGGCGCATTCAAGCGGGTACTGCGGGTCATGTTGAGGTAATTAAAATGTCAAATTAATATTTAGCGTTCAATTATTTACTTATCAGATAAGCGGAAAAATTATGCAGTGTAGTCTATCACCCTGCAGAGGTTTCTTTTGTAAAATAATCTGCTGACTGTACACTATCCCTCAGCCTTGCTGCGCCCCCCAGTTTGGGAACCAATGGAGTAGGCCATTTGTGCTCTATTAATTTGGTCTGTTATGATGCTCTGTCTATTATTACTAATGCCAGTGTAGTACGGCGTTGCACAAAGAGGACAAAAACGTTCAGCGTCGACTCTTTATTGTCATTTGTGTTAAAATTTGCAAAGCATACCAAATTGAACAAAACTATATAAACGCAAAATTTGAATTCATGAATATATAACGGTATCCACGGTATAGCAAAATCCATATCATGGAACAACATAATACCGGTAGTCACGTTCATAGCACCCACCCCTAATGTCAATGCAGTCATGAGGATTGAAATGGAATGTGTATTGATGATTCTGAAGAGTTAAGCCTCACCTCTGGCATATCCAGAGGCACCCTGCGGACCTGCATGCCCTGGAGGACCACCGGTCTGGGCTGCAGCATGGACAGCACTGGCGCCACCTCCTGGACATCAGTGGAGGTAAAGCTAGAGGACTGCGATTGTCGCTCTCGCTCCCTGAGCCAAGAAAAAGGGTTCAAACCCTGGGAGACTGCTGAATATCACCCCAATGGTAAAAGTTTTAAGACTTACTGGACTGGGTCCTCATATCCTCCACCAGCAGGCCCAAAAGTATAAGACCTCTTTACTCCTGAAATTAGATAATTTTAATTGAAGAAACAACCACAACTAAGCCATATTTAAATCAGTGTCACTGAAACACAAACTGTTCTTTACCGCTCTCATCATAAAAGTAGTGCACAGCTCCCTCTGAGGTGTCATCGAAGGTGGATGCCTCGTGAACACCGCTGCGGGGCAGCAGCAGCAAGGATGAGGCAGCAAAGTGCAGAGCAGAGGGGAGCGTTCGTGTGCGGGAGTGAGAGGAAGTGCGGACTCTCTGAAGGTCTTGAAGACTCGGAGGAGAGCCCATGGCAGAAGGGGGTGGGGTGGGGTTACTACCAGCATTATGACGCCTGCGAATGGCCTGTGTCCTTTTTACACTGCTCACAGAGTCACGTTTACTTCCCTCCTCTGGGGCTGCATGGGCAAACAGCAACAGGCAACAGTTTTAATAAAAGAAAAAAAACATTAAATATTCACTACAGCAGATAATAAAAATAAGAGCAACACCACAAATCATGAAACCATTCCAGGCTCTAAATACAAAATATTAAGAATGAATCGGTTCACTCTTCACCTCCTCCTACTGCCCCCTCTTCCAGCAGCTCTCCTGCCCTCCAGCCCATCTGGTTCCCAGCCCAGGAGCCGCCAAGAGAGTCTAACCTATGGTGGGCTCTGGAGAAGCCCTCTGAGCGCACTGTCCGAGCCTCCAGATCTGATTTAGAGATGGTGAGTGGACGTGGGGCAGGAGTAGAAGAAAGGGGTAAAGGTAGCATAGTAGATGCAAGGGCCCCTGTGTTGTTGGAGCCTCCACCGGCCCCATCCATGCTGAGCACTCTGGCATGAGTCTTGGCACTGGCTGTGCTTGCTGAGCGCTGAGCACTGCGAGAATGGGAGGGTCCTACTGTGCCAGCCTCCTCCCCCTCTCCAGGGCTAGGTAGTTGAGGGGGGACAGGTTGGGAAGCGATGCCGGTATTTGCCAGATCGGGGGAGTAGCAGGAGGTAGAGGAGCTAGAATCGTCATCTTCATCATCGTCTTCGTCGTCAGAGCTGAAGTGACGTTGGGATCCAAGACTAGAGCCAGCACTCATGTCGCTGCCGTCATCTTCATCGCTGGAGTCCTCGAACAAGCTCTCGCTATAGGCTTTGGCACCCAGCCGACTGCGTACAGGGATGTAGTCTCTGTGTTGGCCACGGTTGTGGTGCCGGCGGTAGGAGCCACAGTCGAAACTGCTACTGCCAGCAGTGCCCCGTTTGCGGGGAGCTTTCCTGCGACCAGGTCGGTGACCCACACTGCCACCAGCACGTAGCAGTTTCAGATCTTTAGGTCGCACTACCTGCTGCTGCGCTTGCAGAGACGGCGGCTCTGCTAGGAGGTAGGACGGGGCAGAGACCGGCAGAGCGGGCTCTGAGCAGACCAAGCCCAGTGTCAACCCTGATGGTACAGAGCAGGCCTGGCGTGGAGGAGGAAGAGGGGGTATGGGGATGCCACCATCAAGATCGCAGGTCTCAGAAGGCCCGCTGCTAGACGGTGATGAGTCCCGCAAGGAGGGCTGTGCAATGTCCGTAAGCAAAGGGGGAAGGTCCTCTCCCTCCACCAGAGTTCTGTCCAGGCCCTGCCCAGAGGAGAGTTCTTTGGAGGGTGATCGTAGCAGCACGCTGTCTGACAGGTCATCCGTGTCACTACCACCTTGGAGCACATCTCCAGGCTGCTGATAGGCGCCTTTACCCTGAGGCAAAGCTGTGGAAGGAGCGTTAGACACGAGTTTATGCGTCTGGCCCAGCGAAGGGCTCTCAAGCTGGGTTGAGTCTGTTTTCTCACTGCGGTAGCTACTGACTGTACTAAGAGTCTCTCTGTCTGTGGCCGCTCCACCTCCACTGAAGCAGCTGTCAGTGGATCCTGCAGCCAGGGCTACCCCGGTGCGGCTGCCTGGGTGCTCAGCACCAGGAGCAAAAGTGACAGGGTCAAGGCCCAAGCCCAACAAGTTCTCGCTTAGCTCCTCGCTCAAGCTACTCTTGATGAGAGGGCTGAGAGGAGCATCTCTCAGACTCTCAGACTCAGCTGAAGGTCCATGGGGGGAGTAGCTTCCTTGACCATCCCCATCGGGGCTCTGCTGAGATAGTTGCTCCGCACCCCCATTATCCACCTGGTCCTTCTCATCTCCATCTTCTTGGCTGGATGGGGACGGCGGGATGGAAGGACAATTTGTTGGTTGCAGGCTACTAAACCCTCCCAACAATACATCACCCACACCAATTAGCCCTCTGTAATCCCCAGCCAAGCAGATTGGCGCCACACCTGGAACAACAAAAAACGCGCAGTTACTACCAAGTACAGCAGAGATGTTTAGAGGTTCATGCAGCATAATGTACAAATTACAATATTTCACTAATTCATTTGCTTTAAGCAAGTAATTCATTCAGTTAACCTAATTTATAATATTTTATAATTTTTGCAATAAACACGTAAAATACATTTTATACTTATCAATGATTGTAAGCCAGAAGTTGTAATTTTTTTTTTGATTACACCAGACACAATATTTCATGAAATAAGCAGCTCAAAAGTACTGCATGAAAAGTTTACTATGTGATAAAATCCATATTGTGACTGTAGCTGTGATTGAGTGAAACAGATTATTCTCTCTGTGTGAAACCTACAATTGCAGTTATTTGCGGCATTATCTAATGTTTTGAGGAGTATGTGGCGCTGTCAGTCACCACACCGGTGTGGACATTCACTGCACTTCGGAATCACAGATTCTACATCTTGTATGACCCAAATATGAATTTTCACCAGAAAATGTCATCTGAACAAGTAACATGTCTGCCACTTTTATTCTGACCAACTGAGAAAAAAAAAGGATTACAATACAATACCAATGGTGACAAAATCTAACGATCGCTTAGCTCATAAATGATTGGAGAAATCTGACGTACATCACCAGAGTTTTGTCTTTTTCACCGAAAGATTTAGTTACATTTTGATTAAATGTCAAAAAATATATATATAATAAAAAAAAAAACATACATAAACTAATCATGCACAATAAGATATCATCACATGCATTAACAAAATAGATAAAGTGAATGTTCATTTTATACCAACTTCAAAATATTTTTGGAATTATGAATTCGATTTTTAAAACAAAGGTAGCACTCTGAATTGGAAGTCTAAGGAACAGTCCTATGCAGCCCTAATTTTCAGCATCTGTAACAGGGGCTGTTCTTACTAGTGTTGTCCTGAGAGTTGTGTCGAAGGACGTCTCTATATGTAGAAGTCACAATCATATTACTGCCCTGCTCCTGCATGAGCTCTTTTATATCTGGAATTTTAAAAATGACAAAAATCAGATAAGTATTGAAATGTAAGCATACCAGTTCATGTTAACAAACTATTTAGAGTAGTTTATTTAAAAAAGCAACAGTAACAACGCCACAATGTACCCTTTGAGCCTCCAGGGTCTTCAAGCTGTGGTAAAAATTCCTGAGCAAAAGAAAAGTAAACGAGTCAGAGGAAATTCCTACAAGTGAAGAAGAATAATGCGTAAGGATGTTTGGCATTAACAATATCCTCACCGACACCTGGTTCAATCCGAATAGTGAGTGCTGGGAACTGCAGCGTACAGGAGGGGTGGAGTTCACCTTTCGGAACACCGTCATTTCCACACCGACACCACTGTCCCTGTAGGCACAGGCATGCCGACATGAGCTAAAACTGACTACAGTGGAGCGACTGCTCAACACCACTAACAGCTGTTCACCAACAACAAATCCCTAAAGAATGTCTGACTCAGTAGTATGATGCTTGCAATGCTCAACAAACTGATGCTGCCTACTTGAGAGACAGAAAAGTGTCACATTGTAGGTTGACCACAAAATATAATAAGGTAGTTACACGCTACCTGCGCTGGCTTCCGTCGTGAGCGCCAGAGCCTTCCTCTCCTTCTTCCACTCTATTGGGGTCTGTGGTGAACGAGGCCTGCCTCTTCTGCACAATCTCGCCCAGGTCAAACATGGCATGTAGTCGGAAGTTCACTGCTTTTATGGCCGTAAAGAAGGCCGCTATCACAGCGCAGTACACACCAGCCACCACTAAACTGGCAGGAAGGGCCTAAAAGAACGAATGTGGGAGAATCACATCAACGTGGTTGCAAAAATTACAATCTTTTCATTTCAGACACTGCTTCTTATGTGGACCACAACTTGTGCAATAAATCTGATTTCATAATGTTCTTGCGTAAGTCTCTAACAGTATGCAAAACACAACTAGGCCAATACCTAATGGTAAATATATTGTTTTACTTGGTTGTTTATGCTACATTATTGGCATATAAGACTATTTTCATGGCAAGAGCAGAGTAAAATCGGTTTAAGAAATAAATTAATAAACATTTAAATGTACATAAGACAGACAAGATGTTTTCTTGTTAACAATTTACTTATCATTAAAAAAACTGAACAGAATAATTGTCTGATGACATTAAAAGCTGTTAAGTTCAATAAAATGTTTAACAGTGAACTTAGAGGAGTATTACAGGAGCAGCAAGATGGAGGTTCATATAATAGTGAAAGCACAAGTATCATGAGTGATGTCATAATAACATTTCATGTTTACCCACATGCTTTGCTGTATTTATCATCAACTGGTTGTAACACTCAGAAAACAATGGACGCAAAGGAATGTGTTCCTGAAGTCTGACTTCTATTTAATGATTCCTTCTTGTATATGTGATCAATAACATTGATTGTACTTGTAAGGAGCTTGTACTTACATCCTGTAAAACTTTAAAACAGGCTATTGCCTTGAAAAGGAACTTTACTGAAAGTTAAAATACTGTTTTGCCTTTAAATCATGACAACTGTGACCCTGGACCACAAAACCAGTCATAAAGGTCAATTTCTCAAAATTTGATATATTTACGGTAGGACATTTACAAAATATCTTCATGGAACATGATCTTTACTTAATATCCTAATGAGTTTTGGCATAAAAGAAAAATCGATAAGTTTGACCCATACAATGTTTTTTGGCTATTGCTAAAAAATATACCCCAGCGACTTAAGACTGGTTTTGTGGTCCAGGGTCACAATTATTATATATACACACTACCGAATAAAGCTCAAACGGGTCAGTAAAAAGTTTTTGAAAGAAGTCTCTAATGATCACCAAGGTTGCATTTATTTTTTTTTAAAATACAGAAAAATCAGTAATACTATGAAATATTGTTACAACTTAAAATAACTTTTTTTTTTTAAATACAGTAAAATCAGTAATACTATGAAATATTGTTACAACTTAAAATAACTACTTCTATTTATTCCTGTGATTTCAATGTTGAATTTTCAGTAGTCATTACTCTAGTACTGAAGTGTCTCATGATCCTTGATGATGCAAAAGAAAGAAAAGTCTCATGATGCAAAAGAAAAAAGAAAAGAAAAGAAGAAATTATTATTTTATAGAAAATAGTTGTTCTGATTTTTTGATTAATTTTGTGGAAAACATGGTAAGTTTTTCAGGATTCTTTGATGAATAGTAAATAATAAAAACAGCATTTATTTGAAATACAAATATTTTGTAGCATTCTAAATGTCTTTGATGTCCTTGGTAAATATAAGCATTAATTTCTTTAAAAACAAAAAGTTACTGACCAAAAATTTTTTGCACAGTAGTGTATATATGTATATAAATGTTTTAAAGATAGATGTTGCCTTGGTTCTGCTTCAGTGTAACTACTTGGAAAAGACACTTCACAGAAAATTTCACTTAAATAGCTTCATAAAACCTGTCGATATGTGCAGCTGTCTGTCATGCATCTTGACAAAGTTTTAGCCTCAATGTCTTTCTAGAGTAGGCTAAACCTGAACACCAGCAGGTAAGGAAAGTTACTCAATGTTAGTGCATCTAAGCCTCAAAACCGCACAGGCTCTTGGATTCCATCAGTATTAAAAACGTTTTTTCAGAAACATGGGCTGGTGGCTTTCTTTACCTCAGGAATGACTGCAAGAACTCACCATGTACAGAAGAAACGGGAAGGCCAAGAGGAATATCCAGAGGTAGAGATGAAAGCAGTTCGAGAAGGTACTCTGATGAGGGTCCACGTACCATCCTCCAGTCAGAGATGCCCACACTCCCTGCCGCAATATCTGAAGAGCCTGAGAGCCCATCTTATCGCTTCTGGATGAGACAACCCAGAGATCTTGAAGTTCCCTTGTCAAAGTTTCTAGTGCGGCACTTCCATTGGGAACCTCAGGGTGGACTGGTTATGAAAGAATGATCAGAAAGCGAGACGTTCCAGAACAACTTCAGACCTGTGTTCTTTTAGTATCAACTGTTTGTTTGCATGCTCCTCCAGCAGACCCGTTTGTAGTGCAGTTCATCAAAAGTTTTTGGCACAACTGTGACCCAAGGGCTACATGAAAACATTAATCCTGAGGAATCATCAAAACTGCTTGGTTTGGTTTCTTTACGACTTTCCAGCACTTTAAACAAACACAATTCCATAAATAAATCAGCTGTTCTGATGACATACTTAAGATCAACAGGCTATTTTGAATATGGTCATTTTAACCTATCTGTGGCCGTTACTAAGGCATGAGACGTTTGTCTGATTTAGATAAAGAAGCCTAATATGGGTTTTCTAGAAAATGCAAATGAGGAATCAGGTTTTGTTTAGGGGGCTATAAAATATTTAACTAAATTTAGAGATGATAACAGATATGTATACGATCATTGATCACCTGCAATCTTCATACTATTAAAGGCAAAGCAGAGAAAAGACAGGCAGTAAGTTATAATGTCTTCATTGGCTTTCTATGCTTTTGCAACTATTGTAAATATGGTATACAGCTTCAGAGTCCTGAGAATTACATTTCTAGTTTTTTCTGCACAAATCTGTAAAACGTTCCCGTTCCCCAAGGAGAGATATGCATACATTACACGGTTTAGAGTTTTATATCTTAACTGACTGCTGATTTATTTGAACCTACAGCCATCTCCAGGCCTAAACGGTCATAATATCCTCTCAAAATGTTCTTGTATGGCAGTAGCTGATATCTACAGCTGGAGGAGGAAAAACTCTAAGCATCATCTGTAAGCAGTGAATCGTTTAAATAAAGGAACGCTGACAAATGTCTCAGTGGATTTGGCTTTAAACCATACCACTTCAGCTAATGTTAGCATAGGTATGTTAGCTTGCCAAAAGCAGCTTTGACATTATATTGAGTCTAAAAAAATGACAGTAGAGAGAGATAAATGTCCAGCAAATGGTTCAATAGCACTTCAATGAAAACGTAACTGGGATGCGAATATTTTTAGAACTGTAAACAAACCGTGTGTTTAAACAGCAATAGCGCTAACGCTGACAGCTGAACGACTCCATTTTAGCCTGAATCACCAATCGTTAGGCGTAAAACCAATCAGAAGGGACGCAAATATTATATTTAATCTATTTGATCAGTTTCTCGGCTTAATTAGAAGGCTATAATTCCTCTCAAGAGTTCAATATCACCTGACACTCACTAGCCAAACCGCTAACATGCTACAAGCAGTAGTGAGACACCTCTGACTTTGGCATAAGTGTTTTTTTTAGCGAAATTATCCGATGTTAGTGCACTCTTCAACACTCCATGGTTTATCTCGACAGGGTCTGCATTAATTCCTCCAGAAATGAGAGCAGGAAAACCGCAGGACAGCGAAACTGAACGCGAGTTAGCATAGGCTAACGCCAGCACTGAGTGCTTCCTCCTTATGACGAAAATAAAATACAAAAACAAATACGAAACGCAAAATATATCTACGTGGCCACCACAGCAGCCATTTCTTCGTTAAGTCCAGGGCCGCTGTGTAAAAACTCCAGCGATAAAAGCCCAGAATGTGAGCTCGCTAAGTTCCAGTGTCGAATCGCTTCATTCACACGGGTAGCAAACACCCACCTACAGGAAGAGAACTGATGCCATAACGCGATTGGTCGCTGCGGTTACCACCCACATACAGGAACAGAACGGATGCTTCTATGCGATTGGCTGCAGCAGGTGTCTGTCATCCAGTCCGATCACTGATTTGATTCATCAATCTACAATACAGTCCAGAGCGTCTCCGTTTTCTCTTTGAACTTTCTTGTTGACAACTTGACATTGGTCAGGTTGCCAATCTTTCAGTCCTACATTCATTGATGCACTCCATTTTACATTCAAATGTTGTAAATTTAAATGAGTAATTTATGTTGATATTATAAACAGAAACTGGGAGTGTCGATATAGGTAGCCTAGTTCAATAACAGTTAATTTTAAGATTCCAGTTTCAAAAACTGTTTTCAATAAATATTGAATGAAAATCTTGATTTTATGTTTTTAGCACTAGATAGCACTAGACAACTTTATCATAACTTTATTTTAACACTAAGGTTAGATACACTAATAAAAATGATAGCTAATACGAATTATATTAATAATATTAATATTAATAACGTATATTAAAATAATTGTAATCATTCTGAGACATTCTAATTTTACATGGTTTATTGTTGGACTGTTTTGGTTATTTATGGTCATTAGCTGATCCAGGATGGATTAGATGGAGTTGATACTGACCTGGTAGACCTGGTAAATGCTGGTAGACCACCTTGGACCCGTAACCAGCTCAAAACAGCTATTGCAGGCTCCTAAAACCAGCGTGAACTGCCTTAAGCTGATACGAATTCATTAATTTACATTACATTTTACATTTAGTAATTTAGCAGACGCTTTTATCCAAAGCGACTTACAAATTAGGACAATAGAAGCAATCTATTGTTGTACCAACCAGGGTTGTACCAATCATCATTGGTACAACCCTCCCTTCTCTCCAAGAACTGTACTTATCCAGAGTGAGCAAAAGGGCTGGCAGAATCACTCTGGACCCCTCACATCCAGCACACTCCCTCTTTGAACTGTTGCCATCTGGTCGACGCTACAGAGCACTGAGCACCAGAACGACCAGACACAGGAACAGTTTCTTCCCTCAGGCCATCCATCTCATGAACACTTGACAATAACTGTGGAACACACACTATTTATTCACTCATACACTTATTTATCTAACAC